GGAGAGTTTTTCGATCATTTTTTTTGTCATTATTTGCTGAATACTAATTAATCTTCTCTTGTCAATGTATTAGTATCTTTCATGTTAATAGCATGAATTAGAAAAAAATATTTCTTTTAGTGGAGGGCACTAAACATCTGAAAATTAGAGTGAGTTTTCATGTGATGATTCTGCAGGAAAAAATCTAACATCATTGAATTGAGTAAAATTCTTTAAAGATTATGCATGCCGTCAAGAAATTAAAGTACTGTGACTTCTAGCTCAGCAAGAATGCTTTCGTACTTAGATAGAGAGAACAAATATAACTCAGTATAAAAATACAGATAGTGCCAGTTATTCAACTGAATCGTTGTTTTACTCATTCAGTTTTCGTACAACTATTTTCTGCGTCTCTCTTTCGTCCTGTAAATGGACACATTCATCTAACCAACTCGTTGTTAATTAAAATTCAATGATTCGATAATTATTGAGTGATATTAGAATGTTACATCGAATGAAATGAAACTTTGCTCTGGCGACACAAGACACAAAAGTTCTTTGCAGAACCAGTCGAAATGAGCTGTATTTTCGTCGAGTCGGATAGTATATATGTTAATCTACTGCTTCATCGCAATTGAATTTACTTTTGAACGATCATACAAGTAAAAAAAAAGCAGAGAAGAAGATCGTCAACCGTGGCTCAATTTTTCATGACATGACTACACAATAAGTGCTCATTAATGATAAAGTCGAATTTTCCACGGTTTACTCTTCGAAATTTAGAGTCTTTGAAAACATAATCTTTCAAGATTAAACATGTAATATATTTTACTACTGTGATTGCGAAAATATCTGTACGATAAAAAAAATCCATATTTCCACTGTCTGAATCAATTAGACTAAATTTTTTTTTTCACAACAATAAAGAAAGCCTCAAAGTTTGTGTTTCACATGAGAACAAGTAATAGATAGTACTTTAAAGTTAAATTCTTCATCAGATCAATAGCTTTTGAGTTCATATTTTGCTCAGTAGTAGAAGATCATGAGACTAGAAAAAACGTTCAAAGAGTTTGTTCTAGTGTTGAATCTCGATGACGATACTGCTTTTTAAACGAATATTCTTCTGTAGCACACCATCTTCTCAATAAAGTCATAGTCTTGGATTTTGATTTGAAACTTTGTCCAGATGAAGATCTCAGTTAGACTAGTTTGCGTACCAAATCTCAGCATTTTTAAATATTGACTCTTTGAGATCGTTATCAGGGCAAAGTTTCACACCGAAATTCGAGACCATGATTTTATGGAAAAAATGATGTACTAGAGGAGAATATTCGCTTATAACTCAATATCATCGTCAAAACTTAATCATAGCACGAACTTTTGGAAAGTTTTTTCTAGTTTCATGATTTTCTACTACTGAGTAAAATATGAACTCAAAAGCTATTAATCTGATGGAGAATTTCACTCCAAATTACTATGTTTTAGTGATTCTCATGTAAAAGAAAAATATCGAATACTGCTCTATCGCTGTGAAATAAATTAGTCCGATTGATTCAAACAAAGTGGAGATACTGAATTTTTTTATCATAAATATATTTATGACACTCTCTGTATGTAGCAGAGTACGATGCTGGTAGATTCTCTTTGATGATCAACTATTATCATTATATCAATAGTGATGATGACATTATTATGATGTCTTCCTGTTCGATCGACTAGGTACATTAGAATTGTTCTCTTAAAAAAATGAATACAAGGAAAAATCATTCAAAAATACCCATTTTCAATAATTGTATCAATGATTTCTTATCATCAGTAGAAAAAGAAAACGTGACAAGCAACGATAACTCAAGTATAGACTTATTTCATCAAAGTTCTCCTAGATGAAGGCATGAAGCCAGAAGTTCATCTCAAATATATTTTATCTTGTGTTTATTGTTCTATTCGCTCAGATCCTGTCTAGCAAATAGAGTGAATAGATGTCAGCGAAAAGAATTTTCGATAGGTCACCGTATGATACATCATTCAGATGATTGATAATTTACCTGGATTCATTTTCGTGACGGATCGATCACATTCTCTCCGGAATATACAGACTAATAAAAGAGCGAACAGAGACAGAATAATCATGATGAGTAGAATGCATTCACAAATCTTCATTTGTTGTTCAAACATCAGATTCATTGGTTGAGATCTATCGATACAGTTTTCATTTCTGCTGTACGCATTAAGTGGCGACTTTGTTGGGCCTAGAAAGGGATTTCTAATCGTATACAAAATATAGACTCCCATTTCTACGCACTAGCCGAGCAAATCTTGCCGTCTTCGTCATTGTCAAAAAACTATCTAGAAGTGATAAACTTTGTCGATCGCTTTGTTTCAGAGTGCATTGTTACTCTGAAAGATATAGAGCAGTCGTTCAATATCAATCATTGTAAGAAAGAGGAAAAACGAACCTTGAAGTTGCCCCGCAACATCATGACGATGTATTTTTCTGAATGTTTTAATGAGATCATCACAATCTTGATAACTGATGATCCCCTCATCAAAAAAAGAGATGCAAGTAAACGAAGCGTCCCACTCATCGACAAAGCATCGCCACGGCGGGAATTTAGAAGATGTGGCCCATTATCTGATAAATAGACTTGTATTTTGAATAACAAAGCTCAAAAATGTAACTGTTCATCCATTTAGTTAAAATAAATCGTTTTCAATAAAATGGTCAAAGAAGATCAATTGATCTAAATTTTCACTGTAGTCGAGCAATTTATAATGTTTGAAACGATTATACATGCTATATAAGGGGATGCTATACAGTATAGATAAGAAGAAGGGGAAAACGATGGGAAAATAAATGATACAATTTTTTTTCTCGCATCTCTGTTGGAAAAGAGATGAAAGAATTGATGGTACAATTTTTTCCTGGCTTGACTCAGGAATGCTTGTTAATCATTGTTCTATGGTATTTCAAATCGAACATTAGTTCGTTTGACAATCATACATACGAATACAAAAATAAAATGATCTTTTATCTATCTTTTCTTTAATAGTTCTGACTGTTCGATTAACAATGGATAATAAACAGACGATAAATAATAGATTTATAATTGTTATTTTTTCGTTTGGCTACATGAATAAATAAACTGCGTAGTAACCAATGAATATTTTTTTTTATGTTCTTTTTCTTTCGAGACCAAGCTAATCTTTATTCATATCTTTATTAATTAATAAAAGACATGTGACACAATGTAAAGGGAAATTTTGTTATCTTCGTCTTTTTATTGCATAACTTTTTTTCTAACTAGCAGATTGATGAATTAATTCTAATTCATCTCACATTTACCGAACGGAAATGCATTTTGACAATCACATGGAGCTTTGAATGGCATCTTCAATAAGTACACGAAAATATAAAAGTAATACGAGTTCGAACGATAAACTACACATTATATTTTCATAGATATGAAAACAAGAAGAAAAATGTATAAGCAGAGTAGATGAATAGAAAAGCTTTTAAGGTTATTCGAAAATGTTATTTCAATATTGTACTTTGGAATAATTCTAAAAAGAACAAAGTCTCTCTCGTTTCATATACACAAGTGGTCCAAACAAGTAGTATTTAAGCTGGCCGATCCGTTGACGCTTTCACTTGTTCACCATTCGGTTTATTTTTCCAACTAGCGTAAATTTTTCAGGTTAGGAATAAGGATTGAATCAACCAATCGATTCCATCTATAAGTAACGGAAAATTTTAAAAAAAACTGGTTGTAGCAGTCTATATTTTGAAATACCAGCAGGGCAATTTTGTAGGAAAAATTATTTTTGTACAAAACAAATTCTTTATATAAATGAATACAGTAATCACAAATTCATGAAACCTGCTCTTCTAACAATTGCTTCCGCCACACTTATTCCTCAATTCCAATTCTTAGAAATTTATTAACAACAAAAATAACATGTAATATATTAAATCTAACTATACACATTATCCTAATCCTATTTTATTCAGCAAGTAATATTGTCTCTTTTATTTCTAACACTTAAAGATATAGTTTTAGTAAACTATTACTCAAGTCTCACTTTTTCCCTTTTGCACATATACCTCTTTGAATATTACATATACGTCAAGTTTTTCATAATTACAACATAGTTCGTAGTAATTGACTTTATTAATCGCAACATGCTTTAAACTATAAATGAAGCATTGTATAAGGAGAGAGTTGAAAACATGAAAATGTTTACAGAAATAAAATTGAAATAAAAAACAAAATTTAAAAGTCACAAATGAAAGAGAGAACATTCGTTGAACAATACGAAATTTCACAATGATTTTAAAATTTTATCTCAAACCGATAAAAACGCTAAATATCAATGAAAATCAAGAAATTTATTTCTTTGTGGTCCTCCCGACATGAATAATTCTTGTTAATATAAAACTAGCTTCTTTCAAACCTTAATAAGTTCAAAATGATGAAAACTATTTAAGAAACGATTATGAAATAATACAAAAATAATTGAAACAAAATTAATATAATACAGAATGTGTTATAATCGTGTAAACATAAAGATATAGTGACAGATCGTTAAAAATCAAGACAAAATCAGAACATATCTAAAATGTCAGGAAACTAGTATTCCTGCGAAACCTGATAGAAGTATTTAAATCTTGTTTAATTATATAAATTCAGTCGGAAATGAAGCTAAAGTGTTCAAATACTGAGTATCACACTAGAATAAACAAATAATTTCATTGCCAATTGTCATCTAGAAAATTGATAAAATAATATCTCAATAAATCTATTTCGTTGACATCTCCGCTATTACAGTGGATCCGACACTTAGATCAATCGATTTTTATCCTCTATATTCATACAGTCACTCACTGATTTTTACTTGAAAAGAAAGAGAAAACGATAATGACAAAAATCTCTGTTTATATATATTATGATTTTCATTGTATAACATTGATGCCCTATAGATCAAAGATAAATTTTCGAAAAAAAAAAAATTCTTTTTTTATTTCAATAAACTTGAACAGAATAATTAGAACCAAGTCGAAACATAGATAAATAAATACGAATTTGAAGTAAACTGAGTAATGATTCATCTGTTAATTCTTCGGAAAGGCTTGATAATTTTGTTTGAGTTTCCTTTCATAAAAAAAATTTAACTCGTATATAACTAATATCATCAGAAAATATTTACTTGAATAAGATCAATTAATTTTTGTATATCAGTTTGTTTAATAAAATTTTTTTCTTCAATTATTTTATTTCCATAGAATAACTAAAAAGACTAAATATAAAATAAAATAATAATGTTTTTCTAATTTACCTCGATTAGAATAGAAAAAGTAATAATTAATCGACGAAGACATGAACTTGAAAGTATTATTTGAATAGTTAATGAATCTACAAGACCATCATCTGTATCAACTTTTATTTCTTGTTGTTTACATTCAATATTAATCATATCCATTCGACCAATTAATAATCTTCGTGTAATATTCATATTTAACTCTTAAATAATCGAAAAGTGAATTCTTATGACATCGAGTATTTCAAATAATCAAATGAGCTCTGAGATTTTTTCAATAAGAATTTCCTTAGAACTCTAATTATGATTTCATCTTTTTCGTAAATATCGATGAATTTATTAAGTGTCCAAAATACACTTAAATCATCATTTTATTAGGAAATGTTATTAGTTCATTGTTTAGAGTCATACAAAATCAATTTTCTTTGGTATCGCTTTCCTGTTATTGTCTCGTCATTTTTTTTGTTTGAGAAAATATCACTATTATATAGTGATTCGTTACTATTTTACATTTTGTGAACTACGAGTTAACAAGAATGTTCAAGACGTAAATCGAAACATATGTTGAGAAATTTTCTCTCTTGCAATATCAATTGCTCAAACGCGTTTTACATTTTAAAAACATAGGGATTCTATTAACAGATCTTGTACTATCAAATATTCGTTGATTTTTCAACTAGTACCCAGACAGACAAAACTCACAAAAAAAGCGGTGAAATACGCGTAGAAATTTTAACGAAAAAAAAATCAGGAAAAGCGCACATTCCTACGATTTTATCTTCG